TTCCCCAGTTCGCGAGAGATGCTGCCGGCTCCGCTCCGCAGGCGGCGCGCTGACGATTGGCCGATGTCCACAGGGCGGCGGCAACGCGCCTGCCGCCTCCAGACGGACAGCTCGGGCAGGCCAGCCTCGGGGCCCGCGCCCCCGCCGGAGCGCGGGGCGCGCCGCCTCCGCGCGCGCGCGCCAGAAAAGCCCTCCCGGAGCGCGGGGGGCCCCGCTCGCGCCCCTGAAGTCGCCGGGCGGAGCGCGGCGCGCGCCGCCTCCGCTCGCGCCCGGGATGCGCTCCGTAGCGGCACGAAGCGCTCCGCCCGCATGCCGGGGGCGCAGTGCAGGAAAGCGAGGCGACTTGTCCCCGCGCGCTCTGGGCGCGCTGAGGAGGGCGCCAAGCGCTCTGCTCGCGCCCCGCAAGCGACGCGCCGGAGCGCAGCGGAGGGATGGCGGGCAGCGCCGACGCAGTGGCGCGCCGCGACTTGCGCGCGAGGGCAACCCGCCGCTACAGCTCGACGCCCGCGCTGCGAGGACGCGCCAGGGGGGCCGCCCTCTGCGCGGCGCCCCGCGAGGTCGCGAATAACTATGGCAATCGAAGCCCCTGCGGAGCAGGCCGCCGTGCCGTGGGCGCGCTCGACGACGCAGGCTCACTCGGTTCATCCATGTTCTGATCCACCGATCAACTATCTCGATGGCAGGACTGTCGCGCGCTGTTCGAGACTGCCCACCCAGGCAAGCGCCGACCAGCAATGAATTATCAAACGCTGGGATTGTCTTGCTTTGGCGTTCGACATTCGTGTCGCTGGTGCAAGCCATGTCGTAGAAAAGCGGGCGATGACCGCCACCGCCGACTAACACGATCGCCATGATATGGGTCGGCAAACGGTTGCGCGTGCCAGCTCTTCATACACGCGCAGTCGATGCGAGCAGCGGTTTGAACAGAGGCCATCGTCGTCGTGGGAAGTTGACTTGCGTGCATGTCCCAATTCATCAAGCACCGTCTGGCTCGGATCCCATTGTTGTTTTTTGAATATTGAACTGCGCTGCCAAAAGCGCCATGCTTCGCGCTGCCGGCACCCGCGTTAACGTCGACCACCAGTAATAGCGCAGAATCGGTTGGGACATTGCGATGGAATAGGTGCAGGTGCCGCTCGGGCTGCTCCCAGAATGTGGCATGTGCTTTCTTGTTGGAAAACTCGCGCTGAGGGCGCGCAGAGCAGACCCCGGGCCGTACGGCCATCGCCTGCATCACTCAAATTACCGACGTAATCCTCGCACTTTGTTGCGCGACTCTATATGCTGCAAAATCACAAGGGCCTCTAAACCTGCATGTGCGCCCACAGCGGGAATCAAGGCACGCACTCGTGCGCATCTCGACGTAGTTACCCGCACCGTGGTCCTGCGGAGTCCTGCCCTCTTGTTGATTGCCGCCGACCCCATGCCCATCCGTATGAAACACCAAGTGGGGTAGTCCCGTCGTGCACCCCAGCGGCGCACAAGAATCCCAACAGCCCTTTGGGCTTAGGTGGTCTAGCAAATGTATTTCCTCCTCCAACAAACCTTCTCCCTTCGCGGGGGGGGGGGGCAACCTCCCCCTCCCCCTGAAAACCTTGGGGTTGGCCGCGATGAGCCAGGGGGTTTTTATTCGCCCAAGATGGTTCCAAGAGGGCCTCTGGTGTTCGAGGATGGCCCCCAAGGCGGCTCAAGATAGCCGAAAATGGTTCAATGTAGCTTCCTGCGCGGCTCCAAGGAAGCCCGACGCGGGCCGCAAAACGGCCGCAAGCTCGCTCGGACCCCCCTGAATCCCCCCCAAAGGCGAACATCCTGCAGCAAACCTATGGATACCCATTAAAGTGTGCATTCTCGCCCCTGTCGTTTCCGATGCGCTTTTGGTGGCCTCAGGAATCTCCCAATATGGTCAAAAATAGCGCCGAAACGCACCAGAAGGCTCCAAAAACGCCCTCACCAGCGCCGATGATCGGCCGAAGAAGCATCCCAAGACCGCCCCTAGAGGAGACTCTGATGGCTCCATGGGGGGAGGCACATCTGGCCCCCCCTTTTGACCGATTGCCTCCAAGATGGCCCCGTGAGGTCCTGCAGGGCCCCCACAAGGGCCCCAACGAATCCCCAAGAGGGCCCCGAGATGGCCCGAAGACCCCCCAAAAGAGCCCCAAGGGAACCTCAAATCCCCAAAATTAACCGCAGAAGGGCTAGAAGAGGCGATGTTGAGGGTTCCGTCCTGGTCCCTGTTGCCGTCCTCCTGCTCCTCCTCCACCTCTTCGTTCTCCTCCTCCTTCTCCTCCTTGTCCTCCTCCTTTTCCTCCTCCTCCTCCTCCTGCTCTTCCTCCTCCCTCCCTCGTCCTCCAAGAGGGAAGGCGCGCGGGACCGGGGGAAAACCTCCACATGATAGCACCCAAGACGGCCAACGTGCCCCCAGGAGACCCCGAAGAGGCCATCTCAAAAAGCCGCGGGGCCACCCGGGGAGCCCCGAGAGCCTCGGGAGGGCTCCCAAAAGGACGCCCCCGAGTGATCAAAGAGACGCCCCCGAGTGATGAGACACGAAGGAGTCCCGCAAGAGGACGCCCCCAAGAGGACGACCCCGAGGGATCAAGGACTCTCGAGAGGACGTCCCCCAAGAGGATGCCCCGAAGAAGAAGAAGAAGAAGAAGAAGAAATCCCGCAGCAGAAGCGGAGGAAGAGGGTGGCAATGCAGCGGAACAGTACCACGTAAAGCGGCAGACAACACACACGACATCTGAAGCCGCGCATCCCCCCGTCTGGGGTGCAGCGGGATGGCGTAAGACTCCCGAGTGTAGAACGGTGCAATGTTAACGAAGAACAGCAACCGCGCCGCGGGGCACGGAGTGGGCGCGTCCTCGGGCTCTTTTTGCCTAACCTTTTAAGCACTCCTGGGGGTCTTTACAAGACCTGGAGCCCAAATTCTCAAATCTGCCGGGGCTTCTCGCGTGCCCCCTGGGGCCTCTCGTATCTCGTTGTGTGGCTCTGTCGGATCCAAGAGGGGCCCAGGACGGGGCAAAAGGGCCCCAAGGGGCCCCCAAGACGGTCCTAGAGGGCCCCGAGTCGCCGAAGGATAGCACCAACGCGCCCAAGATGGCCCCAAGACAGCCAAAGAGACCTCCAAGACGCCCCAAGAGAGCCCCAAGAGCCTTTCAAAGAGGGTCCCGAGAGGACACACGTATGCAAGGTTTGTCAATGATTTGGGGGTCGACTTTTCGAGCTCACAACGCTCCCAGACGGCCCAAGAGGCACCCAGGACCGACCCCAAGACGGCCCAAGATGCCCCCAGGACCGCCCCAAGGCGGCCCCAGTTGCCCCCAGGAGGGACCAACCCGACCCAAGAGGGCCCAAAGACAACCCGAAAATCCAAGTCTTCCGCCCCAACTAGCCTCCAGGAAGCCCCAAGGAGGCGCCAAGAGGCTCCCAAGAGGCTCCAAGAAACCCCCAAGAGGCTCCGAAGACGCCCAAGAGGCCCCAAACGGCCAAGAAGCTACCGAGAGGCCTCGCACGACATCCCAACGTCAAATCAGGCCTCGCCCCTACCAGCATATATCCCTCAAGTCAGGCACGGTGGCGGGATGGGCCGAAGGACCTACAATGAAGATCGAATCCAAAACAACTGGTTTGGGTGTATGCTGGCAAGTGTCCAGCGTATTAGACAATATCAATGCACGAAAATATGGACCGCGTTGCGCAACGATGGACACTCAATATCATGCCATGACGTTGTGCGGAGTGCGATGCTGGGGTGACAGGTACAATACTGCGCACTGGTGGAAGGATATGCTATGCTGTGGAAGTGAATGGCATTCCGTTATCGGCTGATCTGAACCACGATATACTGTGCACGCTGTGTGGCTCGCTGATACGTATTGCAACAAATGCATCGCGTGCCTTGCTATGTCATGCAATGGTTTGCGAATAATTGCCAATTATGAGCAACCTCTCCGTGCCAGGATACGATAGGTGGTGCAACTATCTGTAATGCAGTGACGCAGCATGCGTTGCACAGCATCACGAAACGCTACGTAACATGTAATCGCAATGCGCACGTGTGCAGTCCACACGCGTGGACTGCGCATGCCTGGGGACAAATACAATCCCTTCAGCATGGAACGTATCCTCTTCATAACATATTCCGCTGCAGTACCAGTTTCAATTCGTTCCTCCCTCACCATTCCTCCTCCATTCTTCTCTTCCTCCTCTACACCCACCCGCCTCATCCCGCCCACATCTCCTGCTCGTCCCTACCTCGGGCAATTCACATCCTCGGAGAATCATGAAAAGAGAGAGAGAGAGAGAGAAGCCACCAGAGACAGAGACAGAGAACCAGGAGATGAGGCGCGACGATAGGGGGACTGGCATTCAGTCGGGGCGCTGAAGAAGGAACCCTTTTCGTTGGGGAGGGGCTCGGTGTTCCTTAATTGTTCCACACCGTGCCCAAGGTTGTCCTTACATGTTCGATGGGAGGTCGAAGTGTAACTTGTGGAAAAAAAGGGGCCTCGTTCCTTGTTTTGGGTTCCTTAGGTCAAGGCCCCAACCGTAGGGGGGATACATCGCCCTGGAAGCGGCGGCACATCGTCGACAGATCGGCGGCATGCCCCCGAGAGAGAGAAACGGGGGCCGGCCTGGGCGGGGCGGGGGGCTACCAGAACCCCATCGGCGATCAGTGGGCGATTTGGGTTCGACGCATCCACCCCTCTCGCTCTCGCCATCGCTCGGACGTCCATTCCCCGTGTTTTTGTTCGATGTCGTGCGTGGTTTCTTCGCCAAGTGATCAAGGATGTTCCTCGATGGTTCTCGCCGAGAAAAAATGCACACGTCCGAGCGATGCCAAGCCCTTTGCCTACCCCCCCCCAGATCGTTGCCCCTGGGGAAAGGAAAGGATGGAGAGAAAACCCAACCGCCCCGACGGCAGGTTCTGGAGGACGGCGGCGGCACAAGCATCCTACCCGTGCACACAGCACGTAGGCCCAACTGCTGTGCTGGCGGGATGC